GAATGGTCGCCGTGCCGATATTTTTGTGCCATCTGATTATGGTAACCTTTCCCGTGAACGCGACGGGCTCCTTCGAGTTTCAGGATGGCCTCCGCTTCTCAATAGGCCTCCGGTGCATGTCGGATGGGACGCACTTGAACAAAAGCAAACTGAGCTTATTGCCTAGGCTGTCCAGGCGAGGCATGGTCGGGGAAAAAGGCTAGATGCCAGATTGAACCGAGCCTTTCCACTACACTTGTAGGGGAGGGGGTGTTGACCCTGGAATACGGGGCCGAGTTTCAGTTTGATCGAGACGAGGGCGCTCTCGGCCCAGGTTCGTCGAGACGCTGGGCTCCTATTGCGTCACTTCCATGCCGACACGGAAAGGCTCTTTGGTTCACCTTTCCGTAGTTACGAGTGTTTGGTGTTACGGCAGAACTGGCAAGACATGAGGGGACCAACACAGCCATCGGGGGAGAATGGCCCCAGTCAGGCGAAGGATGCTGCGCCACGAATCCCGCGTTCCGCAGAATGTGAATGACGCCGTGTTGCGGAAAACGTTGGCGATGGCCGGGCGCCTTCTTCTTTGTTATGTGCAAGCGTGAGACACAAGACACGCGGAACGGTAGGATGCTGTTGTGCGGCGTTCGAGTTCCCAGCAGCCTGGCAAGACATGCATCGCGGACAGGAGGCGCTCCTATCGTAGCAGAAGCGATGGCTACCTAGCGAAGAGGCTGTTCTGATTATCCGGATAGTGCCACTGGTGGCAGCTTCGAGATTCCATCCAGATTCATGCACAGTAACGGCACGGGAACGAGATGCCAATAAAGCATACTTCGAACCTACACGGACTGGCCCCGCTTTACGTTTGGAATGCCAACGGCTTTTGCCTCCCCTTTAATTGATTAGTCCAGGGGTCCTCATTGAACATCGTTGCTGTTCGCCGTGTAACTGAGTTGGACCTAGATTCATGGCAGTTCGGCGAAGCAGAGTGGCGTTCCGAATAAGGTACTGTTATCGTTCAGTAGAAGGCACACTAGCTGCGTCAGCGCATTGGGGAGGCTCAAACCTTCTTGCACCCATGCACAGGAAACGGCGGTACTGTACAGTAGGTACCTAAGTAACTTTGCTAATGTAGCTAGCGAAGAGTGGTGCCTGGCAGCGACTCCCCAGATTATGGGTCAACGCGTGCATAGTACCTGAAAAAGCGTGAAAGCCTGTCTTGGAAGCCATGACGCGACACGGACGTACCATGTAGGAATGATCTCGGTAGTCTCATCGGAGGGATCCGGTGGTCCATCAGCTCAGCGAGTCAGAATGCGGTGCCTGGGCATAGACCCAATATTTTCCGTGTCAAGCAATAAGATTCATCTCGAAGCCTTTGCTTGTATTTCTTTGTTTTTCGCGCTCGCGCTGACACGCGGATCCAGATGGCGCGCAACAATCAGGGAGACACGCTGATCCAATAGTCTTCTGCTGGGCCTAGAACCTGTGCTGGAGGTTGATCACCTCTGCATCCTGGGGGTCGACTCCGCGGGCCCATTTCCTTTGTGGGTATGCGACACCTTTTGTGGTACATCGTGGCGATGACGAGTCGCAAGGGATTGAAGAGGCAAGTTGGCTGTCCTGATCGCTCGCTCCCTTCCTTTCAATTGAATATGCCCCGATTTCATCAGAAGAGCAGGTTTGCCAGAGATGGGATGATCAACTCAATGCATTGTCCGTAGCGGCCGTTGTGCTTGCTTTGTGCAGGCTGGCTCTCAGCTGTACATGTACAAGTAGTGTACCAGACAGAAGAGCACAGTAAGGTACCTAAGGTACTATGTAGGTACCTATCTGGGGCAAAGGCAGGGCAGCATAGAATGGTGGCTTGATTGAATTAAAGGCCCAAGCAGCGGCGCCCAGGGTCCCGCTGGTGAGCTTTCCGAGACAAGCTAGAGCTGCAAGTACATGTAGACGCAGGCACTCTCATTCGTCAAATGTTCCCCTCTATCGGCGCCGGCGCATGGGGGGGGAGACATTAGAACAGGGGTAAACCGCGCGAGGATGCAAGGATCTCACGGGCAACCACCTGGCCAGACGGGAAGACCTGACCAGGTGGCAAGTACCAGACGCGTACAGTACTCGAGCCTTTTTGACGGATTTGCGTTGTTTGGGTGCAAGTGCACATCTTTGGTCCGTTGAAGTGATGCCTCGCATGACCACACCACCAATATCCACACCAGGACGTTGCTGTTCCTTCTTCGCTGCAGTGGAAGGTGAAGGACCGAAGAGATCGACGTACTCTGCAGCGACATGTGATCCGTGTCTGTAGCGGATGACCATATATGTGCGCAGGAGTTTCCTCACGCTTCGGGATCCGCTGAGCAGCAAAGAACGTGCCCGTTTGGGCGCCGAGTCAATGTATTCCAGTGGCACCGCCTGCCAGCAATAACACATGTGGCCCCCCCTCCTCCCCAAAACTGTACAGCGAAGGGATCGTCGTGTCTTTTCATGGCCGGGACCCTCGCACGTGGATGTAAATCTGTGTGTCATGGGCTGCGACCGTCTAGAACGGGAACATGGACGACGAACGCCGCGGTCAGTGCAATGCATGTACATGAGCGGTACGAGCCAGGATCGGGTCAAGTTGACCAGGCGAGCGGAGGACGGCAGTCCACATGGCCAATGGGCACTTGTCCGTGTCCCACTTACTCCGCCCGCAAAACACAAGTTGGCCAGCCAGATTGGAGGGCGTCAGGGAGTCCCTGGGAGAAAGCTTGACCAGCCGGACCTCAAGGTACGAACGGGGTGACTTGCCTGGGCTCGCTTGTTCCTAGCTTCGTGTCAGGTAGTTGAACGGTGACAGTCGGGTACTGCTAGGAATACAGTGAGACCGGGCTTGATGGCAGCCCCAACCGCCACTTGTGCAAACCAGCATGGTGAACTGGGGCCTGTCGTTTCCCTCACATTGTCCACCGCCGCCGCCACAGTCATGGTACCATGTATATATTCAGTATGTCAGTAGCAGGTGTCCTTGCACCGTCGCCAGGTCTCAGCCAGGCCCCAAGATGGTTCGTTTCGCCGTTAGCTGCTTGTTGGCGCAGTTCAGTTAGCATCTGAGATCGATGGAGGCAGCCCCAGAGGACGGCAAACAACACCTCGCATGCTGTTTCGGGGGGGACTATCGAGGGGAGCCTACTCCACCCATCCTTTGTTGCCCATACTCACATGTTGCTCGCACAAGGGAGGCCAGAAGTATGGCGCTGAAAAGGGCGACGGTCTTTTGCTTTGTTTACGACGAGCACTTTTCGATAGTACTTTACTCGCAGGCATTGATCGTACCGGGGTAGCCTCAACGTCCGCGTTGCAGGACAAAGAGCTGCTCAGAGGACTGCGCCATTTTGACCAAGAATCGCGTACCGATGGAGTTCGTGGAAAGTACCTGGTTGACCTACACATGTATTACACCAAAAGGGAGGTATGCCATGGCCTTTCAGCAAGGTAGGCACTACCATGCACTCTGCAAGCTGGCGCCGTCGTAAATGAAATGGCACACCTGTTTACCCGCTTGAGGCCCACCTTGGCTACAGGTCATGTGTACAACAGTTGAGCATACACAACTGGTGACAGAACTCAGTAGCTGGGACTTACGCCATGGCTCCTGCCAAATCAATAATAGTGCACGCACCACCATGCGCATCCTCCAGCGGTGCCAACGTGGGATCGGGGGGAAGCAGGTGCACAGGCACTTGCCCTGGCTGAGCAATTGTGCCCGGGCTGGCTCGAACGGTGGTGGACGGTGACCGGTGACCGGTGACCGGCTGACGGTGGATTAAGGCATTGCACTGGTATGGGCAATGCATCACCCCCTCCACCAAGGGCCCCCAGGGCAGAACCCACTCACTACAGAGCCTACCACCAGACTATGTCGTCCCTGCGCTCAGGGGCCCCAGGGCCCCAGGGCTACCCACCATCCTCCCCCCCCCCCCCGGGCCAACTTGGGAGACTGGAATCCCAACTCTCTCTCTTGTCGTCCTGCACTCGCTACGCCTCCCGGCTGGCTCTCACCCTCCCCCAAGAAACCATCCCCCCTGTCGTGTTTCCCGTCAATCAATTTCATTCCTTTAGTCCCCATCCCCCTTTCCATCCCTCTCGCGTGTCTCTCTTTTCCCTCCTCCCTTCTTACACCTGTTTGTCACCGACAAGCGTCCTTGCTTCGCCGCCCGCCTCCGACAAGAATCCCTCCAAAGGCGACTCTCGACCTGTCCGCTTGATTCGATTCTCGAGTGTGCCGCTTCACGAGCACTCTCGACACTGCTGGATCCCGGCCGAGACGCAGCTTCCACCAACGACCTCGGGAGGTCTCCACGAGCCAATGCAAATGCCAGCTTGATCGCTCACAAATCTGTCGTCGCGCCCTGCAGTTCTCAACCCCAAACCGGTGGACGTTTTGAACCCAAGTCATCGACACATGCTTTCAGCAATCTGACGATTTCCTTCGTCGAGTCACTCATTTTCTGGATCTACAATCATTGTGCCCTCAGCATAAAACGTGAGTTGGCGACCGCTGCCCTCCAGCCACCCTCGACCCGGCAGAGAAGCAACAATCCCCCGCGATGGAGGCGCTGAGGGATGGAATGCTGCAGGGCGAGAAATGGTGTTGGGACCTGATCCGGCATGGACCCTTGGCCCCTCTGCAATGCTCGTCCCACGTCTTCCCCTCCCAGCAGTCCGTCCTTCGCGGATCCTCCATGCTTGCTTCGTCACAGACAACGTGGGTTTCGTCTCGGTCCGCTAATATGCTTGGCAGACTACACTCGTTGACTCTATGTCAAGTACATTCGTTCCTACAACATTCTGACAAGTGAGTCGTGTTAACGGCGGTCGCGTACATGACCGGCTCTAGGCGCCAATGAGCGAGCTCACAAACTGACCGAAATTGCCAGATCACAACTGCTACGTGCAAACACCACTCTCGTTAAGACCTTGACAGTATACACTATCCCATAATCGACGGCTGGCAGCACAAACAAGAAATCATGCAGGTCAAGTCCGTCCTTCTGGGCGCCGCCCTGGCCCTGGCTACGACGACGATGGCCGAGACCGACAAACCGAGGATCTACTTCCCCCGTCATGTCAAGAGACAGTTCACCAACTCGACCTTCTCGCAACCCGGGACCTTTCCTCCTGCGCCAGAAACCCCGCCCTTGACCTCGCGAACCGATACGCCGACCTTCATCACGAGCCTCAGACAGTCTCTCACAAACGACTTGATCGACCCGGCCGAATCCTCTCCTTCCTCGTCCGAGTCCCTGTCTGAGCCCAGCGGCACCAGTCAGCGTACCACCGTCGTCATTTCGAGCACCATCAGGGTCCCGCCCACCACCGTCCCCGAGGTGCTTGACTCGATTCAGGTGTCCTCTGAGGAGCTATCTGCCAGTGAGTCGATTGCTCCGCAGCCTTCGCCCTCGTCGTCCGATCTCGAGACTTCGACTTCTCAGACGACCACCGAGCCCGATGGAACCACGGCGGCTGGCACAACCACCACCGAGGCCGTGACGACTACTACCGCCGTTGAGACGACAACTGCCGTCACGGAGACGACAACTGCTGCCACCGAGACGACAACTGCCGCCACCGAGACGACAACTGCCGCCACCGAGACGACAACTGCCGCCACCGAGACGACAACTGCCGCCACCGAGACGACAACTGCCGCCACCGAGTCGACAACTGCTGCCACCGAGACGACAACTGCTGCCACCGAGACAACAACTGCTGCCACCGAGACAACAACTGCCGCCACCGAGACGACAACCCAAGAGACTTCAACCGAGGCACCCACCACTACTGCCATCACCACTGCGTCGTCTGAACCCGTAACCACGACCGAAGCCTCAACGACAGCAGTGACGTCGTCCGAGCAGAGCAGCGTCGTAGAGTCTGTTTCCTACGGATGGGAGTCCGGCACCGGTCTCCTACCGACCATCATTGTGCTCCCCACGAGCAGCAGCACTACGGCCGAGGCCGAGCCCACGTCCTCTACCGCGACGACCGAAGCCCAGACTTCTGCTCAGCCCACGGTATCTGAAATTGTCACCACGTCTTCGGGAATTGTGATCGCGCCTACGGGCCTCGTCACTACCAGCTCAAGCGAACCCGCGACCTCCGCCGAAGAGCACGTGATCCCCACTGTAACGGACGCTGTTGCAAGTCCAACCGACTCGACCGCTCAAACAACCCCCGCTACCACGACCCCCTCGGAGTCTCAATCCAACCCCATCCAGTCTGTCATCTCCGCCGTGACGAGCATCCTTTCTGTGCCAACGAATGCGACTGAGTCTGAGATCGAGCCCACTGCGACTACTAACCTGTCTGGTTCCAATGTCGCTGAGGAGACCAGCGTCGCAGTGTCTGCCACGACTACGGCTGGTGTTCCCATCACCACGGATGTCAGTGAGCCTCCTGTCAGTGCCAACACGACCATCCAGGACCAGTCAACGCAGCCCCCTGTATCGTTGACGTCGCTGCCGCCTGGCGAGTCGTCCATTGTCTCCTCTACCTCGATTTTCCCTGGCGAGTCGGTGATTTCATCGGTGTCACCCAGCGCTTCTGGTGAAGCTTCGGTGGCTCCCAACTCGACAGAGAGCGTTCCGACTGCTAGCGCCTCCAACCCCATCACCGAGCCAAGCAGCTCCGTCAATGTGACGTCCATTCTCGAGCCTAGCATTGAGCCCCCTGCCGCGCCTTCCTTTGTGCCGACTGGTTTGCCGAGCTCGAGCGTTGTTTTTGACGAGCCGTCAGCCGTTTCAGCCTCGGGTGAGCCCTCTACGATCGTTCCCGTGACCAGCCTGGCACCCACCAAAACGATCACCGGTACCGAGATTTGGCTGCCGTCCACTATCATTGTGGAAAATTCGACACCGACTCGCGCACCGACGGATGCTGTCGCACCCACAAGCGGCGTTGCTCTGCCCTCGGACTTGCCCAAGGTCATCGGCCCTGGCGATACGGAGAATGTTGCTCAACCTGAAGGGACTGTTCTCCTTCAGGTCGGCTTCCTTTACGCCGAGAACTACGAGTTTGTTAGCAAGAACCCGATGGCTGCTGCTCAGTTGTTCACGCTGTTGCCCACCGCCCTCACGGATGGCGCCAAGATCGACGCCGGTAAAGTCGTCGTCACGAGTCTGGTGCCCTATGACACGATGTCGTCGCTTGGCTACATCACGACTCTCGCCCGGTTCTGGTACCCCGAGTCCATGGTCGACCAGCTGCGCATGGACATCAAGATTCCAAACTCGCTTCTCCACAACAACCCTCAGCAGCTCATCTACAATCTCACCCAGAACATCAACCCTGCCATTGACATCATTCCTGGTTCCGAAAACATCCCCGGCGGCAAAGGAGGTGCGCCGACTTCTGGCTCCCCCAACGGAAACAACGACATGTTCGACAACAACGAGTCGGACTCGACACCCATTCAGACCGGAACTGCCGCAGCCATCGGTATTGGTGCCGTAACAGTTGGCGTAGCTTACGGCGCGGCCATGTTCCTGATCGCTCGTCGTTACAAGCGCAAGAAGCAGGCGCACCGCCGTGCCAGCTCCATCTCCGGCACTTCCTCCGATATGCGCTACACTGGTACTGGCAGCCCCGCGATGATGGGTGGTGCGCTGATGAGCCGCGACTTCTCCAACTATGGCGGTGTCGCTGGCGGTCGTGACAGCCACGGCAGCGGGCGGACCGGCAACTCGGGACGGACGGCCAAGATTTCGGCACCTGTCGCTGCTGAGAACTCTCTTGGCTGGAATTGATTGACGAACTAGACGCCGCACACACACGCGCGCGCACACGCGTGCACACAACACATTTTTCTTCATTTTATCTGTCATACTGCGAAGTTTCTTGCTTTTCGATACCCTTCGGAAAGAATCAGTGATAAGAAATATTTGCATTGCATAGACTTTCGATAACATGGTTCTGACCCCGATGACACTTGGAGGAGAGGAAAGGGGCCATCCTTGATTCAGAGGGAGAGGAATTTTGTTTGAGGTGCTCGAAGGAGTTGGCCTGGCCCGCACCAAGCTCGCTTCTTCCATCTCCTTCTTTCTCGTCGCTGCTGCAGACGGCCCTCTCTCGCACATGGGCTTGATGGGCTTGACTTTCGCATCGCCCTTGCCCAACGACTGATTTTCTTCCGCGTCAGACCTCGGCCTGCGACCGTCAAAAGACTCGGCGCCCAACTTTTCTTTGCTGGCGCTGGTCTGGTGTCCAGTGCCTTTTTATTTCACTTAATTGTTTCCTACTTGGTGTGGAGGAGTGGAGAGACGTGGATCAGTGGGACTTGTTGCAGGTTCACGGGGGGGAGAGTATCCCGAACGCGGGAGGAGGATTCTTCGGTCTATGCAGACAGAAAATGAGGGACGCGACGCCCTCGGCGGCTCACGGCCGGGTAGTTCGGTGTACATTACGAAGGATGGAGACGGGCATTGGGGGCTCAGATGCCTCCGATGCCTGGACTGCCTGACCGCGTGCCGACCGCTGCGGTCAACTTGAGACGCATCGCTGAATGGCAGACTGCGTCGGATTAGAGGGTTATCCGTCTCGAGTTGTGGTGCTATGCATATCCTTCAAATGAGAGAGCCTTTGGACCGAAGATTTCGTTAACCTCTTATGATGTGACACTAACCTCGGGGCGCGAGCGCTTGGCGTCAGGGGCCGAATCCAATTTCCGACGATGAGCTAACATAGCGTCTTCTAGTCTGCTTTTGGCAGGGCTGATGGATTATCGCCGGCTCGTTGACCTTGTGTTCTCCTTACTCGTGTCAAAGCCTTTGATCCTAGGTATTCTTGTTGACGTGGTGTGTGTGACACCCCGCTTTAGGTACGAGGCGATTTCCAGTCATGTGACATGCCACATGCACTGTACTGCCCGATAGCGCAATCAGTCCCAGTACATCTCGAAGCCGATTGCCTCCTACCGACCGTTGCACTGCACGTCGACTTGACATGGTGACGACTGTTGTAGACCCTCGGATATGTCTTCTCATCGACGAGAAACTCACATGCATACCGATGCCTTTGCTGACTTGTCTAGCAGTGAGGTGGGTCAAAGCTCTTTACCTGTGGTCTTGGCGTCGATGCGTCACGCCTGAGATGGTGACGCGTCTGCCGACGCGGTGGGTCAAGGGTCAAGATGGCACCGAAGGTACAACACCAGATGCAGTTCAAACGTTGTGTTGCAGAATTGTGGCGGCAGACTCCGAGCGCCTTTTTCCCTCCAAATCTTTACATTCATCATTTGATATGATACTTCTTTTGCATGCCAAATCCTGCGAATCCCCCGCGTGCCAGGCACCACTTATCCAACTCCCCGAAGCACGCTGCCCGATGCCAGAGCGGACGAATCACCCGTGTGCAATTGAAGGCTCCTGGAGGGCAAATAATGACTGGAAAGATGAGATGGAATGCCAAAATTTACCGCAACCAGAGAACAGCGTGGACAATAGGAGCCAGTCGCTGCCGCTGTTCGGCCTACGGATGGCGGTTCACCGGCCGGCCAGCAGCTCTAGATGCGCCGGTAACTGACTAAAGGCATCAATCGTCCTGCTCTTTCGCCGAATGTTTGAATGAGTGCAGCCGGCTGTTTACCTTGCTACATGATTGCCAAGATCGGACGTCCCCAGATGGGGTCCGTCTGCTCCCCAGATGACGACTCCGGACATCTAGCCCTCCATAGCACACGCGGTTCCCCGACTGTGTGAACAGAGGTTTCACGCATATGACGCAAGGGTGGTTACAATGCCGTCCTCGATTGTCGCTCATGGTATGGTCCTATGACTTTCGTAAGCTCTGCGACGAAATCATGCATGACTGGCCTGGCTACTGGCACAATCATCTGCAGATCTCCTTCCCTCCGGCCTCATGAAACCCGTAGGTGCCGGTCGCCGATGCCATCTTGACCTGTCTGACCCCTACCTAGGCTGTATAACATTATTGGTTGCGATGTTGTCGTTCAGGCTTCTGCAAGTCCATACTACCCATCCCATTGTGCTCACCGCATGGCAGGCCTTTGCTGACAGGACAAGACCTTTTTCTCTGAGCTCCACGCATTGACTAGCAGGGCTTCCCAAAATCCGCGGCCGAGTGCGTATTTCCGACTGCTGCTCCGTTGATTTCGACCTTCACAACGCTGTTGATGATCTCCAGGAAATCGAGCCTCCCGCCCACTCCATCGGTACCATGAGGCGTGGTGTCGGCCCAGCCTGCAGCCCCCGCGTTTCGGTACGATGCCTGCGACGAGGCTTTGCTGTGTACTTCTCACCATTAGCAGAGAAAAACCATCACCATTTGCGAGGGTTTCAACGGGGAGCTCTTTGAGCGCAAGGTGAGAACCCTGGCAGCGTCAGCACCAGAAGGTATAGTAACCCCAGCCTAAGCAGCTCAATCGCAGATTAATGTCAACAAGAGGTAAATAGAAACTTCAACTCGTCTCCCGTATGTTACGTCTAACAGTTGAGGTCAAGTAAAGCAAGTTCCCTGACGTGAACACGCCTACGATTAGAGCCAAGGCCTTCTTCGACCTGCGAGGGAGGTATGCAACTTCATCTTGTTTATTGAAAAGTTTCTCTCCCTCAACGGCAAGGGACACGCAGAGAAATGGCAGTACCAGCTTTTATTTTGCTCATGTTGTGTACCTGCCATGTTTGACAATCTTGCAGCGACCCTCACGAACTGGGCTTGACCAGTAGTCGCAACGGAGGCTCTTTGAGTCCATGCTCTCAAACAACGCCGCAGAAGATAATTATGAATGACACCTTTATGAGGAATCCATCATGACCAGACGTCCTGCCTCGAGTGGCATCTATCCGCCGCCCGAAAGAGAGCCCTTCGCTGCCCATGCTGGCTTCATCAACGTCGTCTCATAAGACAAAGGAAATAATCGAACAGGCGAGTGGGGAATATTAGACGACAGTCAAGGAAAAGTATTACGGGAAGCCAAGGAAATGAAAGAACGAAACAGAAGTGAGGAAAGGAACATCTGATCGACCTAGAATGAGGGAGTGAGTGGTTAGTATTGAGTATCAGGGCAGCCGAGATTACGACTCCCTGACACCGACATCAAAGCGGACGGAACGTGGTGCCATACTTTCAGGCAAAGGCTGCTTGGTTAGTTAGTACTTCGAAGAACCGCCTCGCAGGATACAGTCTGGAGGGGTGGAATGGCAGCCCCGCACTGAGAGGGAGCGCCGACAAGGGAGCTCCCGTCTTGGTTGTGGTTTCTCACAGCGGCAGCGGGGCGGCGGTTGGGTCCCAGGCCTGCAACCGCCCCTTGTCCGCCTCGACGAACGAAGCCCTCATCCACCCGTCCGACTCGACCCTACGAATGGACCATCACGGGCCCGGGCCCGAGCCCGAGCCGGCGGGTGGGGCGGGGGCCGCGCCGTCGGCGCCGTCGTGGGAGCTCGCGTCCTCGGCCTCGCGCGCGAGGCGCTCCTCGAGCTTGCGATGCTGCTCCGCCTGGCGCTTGTGCTTCTTCTCGTCGCGGCGAGCGCGGGCGGCGTCGCGCTTCTCGCCAATGATGTAGGGGACGGAGCGGACGGCGGCGAAAGCAAGGGTCGCGGCCTGGCGCAGGTGGCGGCTGGCGTCGCGAAGGTGGATGCGGGCGTCGGTGAGGTCGCTGCGGGCGGCGGCGGAGCGCTTCTTGGCGCGGTATGTGCGCTCGGCGCGCTGGGCCTTTTGGTACTTCTCCGAGGCGCGGCGGCGGTTCGTCACAAGGAGGGCCTCGGTGCCGGAGGTGCCTGGGCGGCGGGCCGGAAGGGGCTTCTCCGTGGGCTCGGGGGAGGGGCTCGTGTTGTCGGCCATTTCTCCCTTGTGTTGTTTGTTTAGGAGCCGGGGCAAGGACCAGACTTGGGAAGGGATGAATCAAGGGAAGAATGAAGGGGGAGAAATAAAGTTGGTGGTCTGGAGCGACTGTAAGTGAGGCTGAGTCTCGGAGAGGTGTGTGTGAATAAGCGAGTGTGGGGTGATGAGTGAGTGGGTGAGTGAGTGAGTGAGTGGGTGGGTGAGTGAACGGCAGTGAAGGAGCGATGGAGTGAATGAGCCAGTAGAGGTAGCCCACGTGGAACAGACGGATGCCAGCTTTGGATCATGAACATGATCTTATACACATGCGCCGACGAGGAGACGAACGCGGTCGAATGCGCTAAAAAGACGTGGCCTGGGTGTCGCGTTGCTGTCACTCTGGAACATCATGCATCTGACCGGCCCATCCCTGGCCGCCCGGGCCCCAGCGTAGCAAACGAGGGAGCGCGGGGCACGAGAAACATGGCGGACGGCATGAAGAGGCAATCAGCGTGGTGGGCGGTCGATGTCATAAGATCAGGCATGCTATAAACCCCACAGAACATGAGAGGGCGACCGTTGGAAGGGTATCCGACTGACGCTGGTTCATCGCACCTCGTTCCTCGAGGGACCCTTTTCTCAGTCCCAGTGGGGCAACCAGGCGTACCCCTGTCGCCAGAGTCGGACAAGGCATGAAGAGAGCCCAGGTCTCTGGGCATGTAGCGTTCTGAAGACATAACTGGAGGGTACCCATGCTCCATCGTGTTAGGTGCGTGAAGGCTTCGGAGTCGAGATGGGTCGCTGGCGTCGTCGGTCGCGATGGCGGACTCTCGTGAGAATTGCGTGATGTGAGGGTGTTTGAGTCTGGCTGTGGCTGAGAAGCGAGCTCTGGAACTCCTTCGAACGGGCCGGAAATACTCGAGCTGTGGCTGGAGAGCGCTCGAGGGCGGCAACTGATAGGACAGAGGACGGAGAAGGAGCAAAGGAGAGACCCCGCCCGCTCGTCACATGTTCCTGCCCACGAGCGAAGCCTGTTGGAATTGGCTGTGCCTGCTGCTAGTGAAAACGTTGAGGCCACTTGCTCTCGTTTCCTCTTCGTTCTAATTTCTTTTCCTGGCTTCCCTTTTCCTGTCGTGTGCCTCACATTCTCTCTTTCGCAGCAACTATCTGGGAACCCAACCTCCACCTCACCTCACCCACCCACCGCTTGCGGTCTGGCCGACATCCACTGCCCCGTTGTGCACGACTCGGGCACTTGTTCTGCTTCTCTTGGGAACCGACGGCTGGGATTCAACCATCGAGCTTCACCTCTGGCCCGTCGTTGTCAAACCTCCCCTCTTCTCTCTGTGGTGCGCAGCCGCTCCCACCCCCCCCCCTCCATTGCGAGCTTGCAGCATCCAGCATCCTTCACCCACGCCCTGCTGCGGCATCCCGCGGGGTTTTCCTCTCGACAGTACCGGCTGATTGGTCCCGCTGCCTGCCGACTCGAAACCTATTCGTTGAATCGCCCACGGTTCAAACCCTGCAGCTCGTCGCGACTTGAGGTTGACCATTACGCAAAAGGCAAAAGGCAAAAGGCAAAAAAAAAAAGCGACAAGAAGAAAAAGGGAAACAGGCCAATCCCGTGTGATTCGTACTGCAGCAAAAACCCGTTGAAGACACTGGGCACCCGACGCAACAGCCAAGCTCTCTGTGACATTGCAGAGGAGTCCCACGCTGTAAGCTCAGCCAACAGCGGCACCCTCTCGGCCGACCTGCCCGCACAAGTCCTGCAGCTAGAGAAGCTCATCCTCTGACTTTCAGATTCTCGACATCTCGCTCATCCTCTCGCTCTCTTCCCTCGTTCTCTCTCTCTCCCTCCGCCTCTCTACCTCTCTTCCCCTCTCCTATCCCCTTTCTTTTCCGCCCGTCCACCTGCGCTACCTGATCGCGTGAACACATACTCGCCCTTCACGCACGTCCCTACACTTGTGATCCCCACTCACAAGCCGGTAACGCCGCCCTACGACCGCATCAACCTGCGGCCCCCAACATCTGCCCATTCCGGACCTAAATCCCCGCCTCGCCGCGCTCCGACTCAATTGCCCCCCCAGCATGAGCTCCGCCGCCGATGTCTCGGCCGGCGCCGCCAGTGTGCGGCTCCGTCAGAAACCGGCTCCTTCTCCATCTTCCAATCAGCAATCGGAGCCTGCAGCTCAGCAGGAGTCGGATCAGAAGCCGAAAAAGACTTTTGGTCGAACACCCGACGGCACAGGTGCGTAACTCAGCAATGTCACGAAAACCAACGACCACAACTGTGAAAACCCAAAGAACCCCACTCTGACCTAAACCCCCCCATGCTGCAGTCTTCACCGTTCCCACGACCCATGACATGGTGTCCCAGCTCCTGGATCCCCGGCAGCCCAAAAATCTCTCCGACGTTCTCGTGCTCGCGTTCCTTGGTGGCATGATCGCCATCGCATACCTCCTTCCCTGGGGTCTGAAGCGGCCTGTTTTCGCCCTGATCTTTCTCTTCTGGAGAGCGTCCTACAACATTGGCATCGGTTATCTCCTGACTATTCAGTCCCAGCACCGTCGTCTGGAAACCTGGGCCACGCGATGGAAGCTTTTTGAGCACCCAAGCACTGGCAAACAGCCCAGGCCTTGGCTGTACAACACCCTCAAGCGTGAGCTCGAGGCCAAGATTCCCGAAGACTACGAGTTCGACAAGGCCCCCATGGAGTACAACACCTGGCTGACCTTCCGTCGCGTTGTTGACCTCATCCTCATGTGTGACTTCGTTTCCTACTGCCTGTTCGCCATCATCTGCGGTCACAAGCCTGAGGGCGAGAGCTTCATCATTGGCGCCGTGCGTTGGTCCATTGGCATTGGCCTCGTCCTCTTCAACCTGTGGGTCAAGCTCGATGCGCACAGAGTGGTCAAGGATTACGCCTGGTACTGGGGTGACTTCTTCTACCTTATCGACCAGGAGCTCACTTTTGACGGTGTCTTTGAGATGGCTCCCCACCCCATGTACTCGATTGGCTATGCCGGTTACTACGGCATCTCCATGATGGCCGCAAGCTACGAGGTGCTGTTCATCTCCATCGTTGCTCATCTTGCTCAGTTCGCCTTCCTCGTCATCGTGGAGAACCCTCACATCGAGAAGACGTACAACCCGCCCCCACCCCGTAAGCGCACCATGTCCGGAGATGAGGCCCAGCCCGCCGCCCTGGGCGGCTTCGAAGTCGCTGATGAAGTCGTGATTGATACTACCGTGCCCCCCAAGGAGGCGCCGTCCCAAGTTCACAACCTGCTCGGCCTGCACAATCTCGACCTCTTCCGGATTACCGACTACACAGTCATCATGCTGCCTTTCTACGTGGCTCTGCTCACGATTGTCACGCCCTCTACTCCTCTGTACCAGGCCCTCTTCGCCGCCCATGCCGTCATCTGGCGCGCCTGGTACCACATTGGACTGGGGTACATCTTGACCGAGCAGTCCAAGCGCAAGATGTGGACGAGGCATTTCCTCAAGTTTGGCGAGAGCACCGCCGAGGGCTGGCAGCAGTGGAAGGGCATGTACCACGTCAGCATGGTCATGTGCTACACCTCGTTCGTTGCAGCCTGCTGGAAAATGTACTCGACTCCCGAGGACTGGAACTACGGTTGGGTCCTGCTCTGGCACGTTCTCGGAGCCGGTCTTGTTGCGCTGCAGATCTGGACCGCTGTCAGCGTCTATGAATCCCTCGGCGAGTTTGGCTGGTTCTTCGGTGACTTCTTCTATGACCACCAGGCCAAGCTGACCTACACGTCCATCTACCGTTTCCTGAACAACCCCGAGCGCGTGTTCGGCACTGCCGGGTTGTGGGGAGCTGCCCTGATCACATGGAGTCGAGCCATTTTCGTCATGGCCCTCTTCAGCCAGATCCTGACCCTAGGATTCATCGCCTACGTAGAGAAGCCCCACATGCAGAAGATCTACGGCCGCAGCCTCCGTGACGAGGCCGGCTTGACCAAGTTCATCAAACGATCGCTTCCGCCTCCTGTTCAGGGCTGGCAACGTGGTGTTGACAAGGTCCTGGACGACACGTCGCATTTCGTGGAGGACTTCCTCGAGGCCGCTCGTCCCAAGTTCACATCAGGTGTCAAAACCATTGTGCGTGACACGACAGCCCTGTTTAACACATATCCTGCACGCTTCACCATCACTAGGCTCTCACCCGACCTTGCTGGCTTCAACCCCAAGCACTACTCTCTGGTGGTGGAGGGAACTCCGTCTAGTCTGTCCGCGGCCAACGAGCGTGCGACCGGCAAGGAGAGCGTCACAGCCCGGTTCCCTCATCGGGTCGAAACGCTCATGTTCGAGTATGGTGCACCTCTCAAGGTGAAGTGGCGGGCCCCCGCAAACCACGGCAGCAAGGACTGGATCGGTCTGTACATGGTCACAGACAATCACTCGCGAGAGGCTACCGAAGTTCCCTCCCTCGGTCGCTGGGTGCCTACCACCCCCGGCCAGTATGACGCCACCGCCGACAAGGCCATCCTCGTCCCCGACCATCCTGTCTCCTCCGACGGCTCGACTACCCTCGTCGAAGGCGAGGTTGTATTCGAGGGTGACCGCCTCTGGTGGACGTCCGGCGTGTTTGAATTCCGCTACCACCACAATGGCAAGCACAACGTCATGACCATATCTCAGCCCTTTGAGGTTCGTATCGGCCGCTTCGACGAAGAAGACGTTGAGGTCGACTCGCTAGGCGTCTACGAGAAGGCCGTTGAGCAGGCCTTGTTGCCCCTTGTGCGGAACTGCTTCGACCGCGATCCGGATATTGCGCCCACGACGGTCGACGAGCCCTTTGGCGCGCACGTTGAGCGGGACAGCAAGTATGCGAAGCGTGTTGTGTATGCCATTCACCAGGCATTCGGTGTTGAGTTTGCACCAGCCGTTGTGCCGGCGGATGGCAATGTAAAGAAATTGGCGTGGCGGATTTGCAACGCGAAGCAAGTCTTGGTAAGTCTTGCGTTTCGTGACTCGCAACATCAGGTCGACTAACGTGTTCAGGCGCCCTACAGCATGTCTCCATCCAAGGGAACGACAACGCCATTAGAGAAGGTTGAAGCATAGCGTTGCATGAAGAGCCTCTGCGAAGAGAGGCGGAGTCCGGCATAGAGTAGCAACAACGAAAAGAAAATGATACCAGCGTGAAGATTCAGTGGTCAGTTTTGGGTAGGAGTAGAAAGAATCAAGTTGAATTCTGGGTTTTTTGCTGGACCATGAAGCGTGCTGACCATGCCCCCCTCTGAACAAAACGCCCTGTTTCCTCACGCACTTGTCTTCCTGTAATGCTTCCAATCAAAACACCCAGCGCGGAGCCGATCTCCCATTTAGGACAAAGCTTGTGCCGGACGGGCCGGCCATTGTGGACGGAATCCAAGTTGCGCCTAAAGGCCTGGTTAATCTCCTCGCCGGCCGGACCCCCGCATGGTCTTCGGCCTGCTGAGCAGATTACCCGGCGCCCAGTGCTGCCTTTCTCCGGCAGCTCAGGCCACGATGTCACTCCCCTCACTGCCCCCTTGCTCAGCGTCCCCGAGACCCAGCCGGCCGGCAGGTAGTGTCGGTAGGATAATGTCGAACTACCGGAGTGCATTTACCCAGAGGATGTGATGAGACGGCAACGCTGCAGGTCGGTGGACGGACCGACACACATCTTTGGGTGAGGCTGTCCTTTAGTCCAATACTGGGCGTCTTAAGGCTTTGGTGAGAAGGGTCAAGGTGGGGGGTGTTGGGTACTTTTCAAAATGCAAGACAGCGCACTGCGTGTCGTGGCTTGGGGGGTCAGCAGGGCGGACGGCTGAGCGTGGCATGCCAGGATCCTTGGCGATTCATGCAATTGTATTTCGTTGTACACTGAGAAGTTGCAATGCAATGGAGAGTAGGGGGGTGGTGGCAGGCGTCTGGGTAAGGGGTGTGCGCATTGTGTTTTTTTCTTTCTCGATGAACGATACACCCGCCCCAATGCCACGACGGAAAGTCGTTTTTCCTGGCTTGGCGCTTGTTTGCAGCGACGACATGGGAGCTTTCTTCCCTCCCTTCTCTGTCTGAAGCTATGCTGTCACTCCTTTGTTGGCTGGCACTGGCAGGCTTGAATAGGGCCGGATCGGGGCGAGGCTTTGATTCATCCTCTCGTCATTGATCGATTCGTGGACGTGGAACTCGAAACTCGTCGGCATGCGAGGGCCAGGGACCCCGTGACGAGCAGCCGTTCTCGTTTCGAGCGGGCCCTCGGCTTTTCAGGCACACTATCGACGGTAGCTCCATGTTTGGTAGATTGGGTGTGTTCTGGAACTGGCAGGCAGCCTGTGTCAGCCTTTTGGGAGGAAGGCGATCACCGTTCGGGTAGATGGAAGATGATCCGCTGGGCTTTGTCTTTGGGGGGGGGGTGCAAATTGCGAATCTGACAGTTCGTTTGACCCTTCAGATGCACCCCCGGGGGTTATTGGGGAGCATCTTTCCTTTCACCTTCATTAACTCTGTATTTTTTATAGATATAAGAGTTCCTGCGTTATTAAGCTTTTTTAAGGCCCTGGGCGTCTGAGGCCCTGGGCGAGGCACTACATCTAGCTGAATTGTCTGTCACGGTTGTGCTGATGGATGTCTTTCTCGGGTTGAACCCTCTACTCCGTCCCCCTGTTGCAGACCCACGGCCCCTTATCTGGACACCCAAACCTTATACATTGGAGAGAACCTTAAAGACTCAAGCTCTATGACACGACAATGACTATCTTCTCTGCGTGAAAGCTCTTAAACGTCCTCCCTTGTAAACATAAAGTATTGACATGAATCCCCATGTGTCCGCCTCCCCCAGGTACGACGCCTCCTCTACGCATACGAGTCGAACAGCTGCTGGAACTTGATGCGCGTGGCGTCGTCTCCCACCCAGACGTCCCTCGCCCTATCGACGACCTCGACATGGTTGCCAATGTACGTCGCGACCATGCCGTTGCCCGGCGCCGACTTGTCGATGAAGACGGGCTCGTCGGGCTCAACGACGGCGGTGTAGTACGGGTGCGAGAGCATGGCGCCGAGGACCTCGGGCGCCTCGTACAGGAACATGGCGATGCCGTCAAAGTCGACGAGCTCGTTCGACGCGGGCTCCGCGGCGCCGGCTACGGTGGCGGGGATCTTGCCTCCGACTTGGACCTGGCGGTTGGGGACATGCGTCAGAAGGAAAGATCTTCAAAGCTCGACAACGTGACGGCGGAACAAGAACAGGAGAGAGGGGCTACATGGTGGTTGCTTTTACCTGCTGGTAGCGGCTGATGTTGAAGTGCGCGGCCAGGGGCGCGACCCTCGGCGCGTGCTGCGTCTGCCAGTAGTCCCAGAACTCCTGGCGCGTGAAGTCTGGATGACGCTTCACGTAGGTCACCATCTGCAGGAGGCCGGTGTTGCTCTTGCACGTGGCGAGCGTGGCGCCGACGAGTGCCGCCGCCGCGACGACGAGCATCGGGTTGAAGCGGGCCATTGCTTTCTTCTTCGAGGGATGTGACGGTGATCCGTTGGTTGGGGCTGACAGGTTCTAGGGAAAGATTGGCAAGCAGACAGATTGCACACGTGGGAGACGAGGAATCATGGGAAATTTCAGAGTGCAACGGGGTGGCTTTTGATAGTCCTAACACTGAGCTGTGTGATATTCGTCGGGACAGGGGCGAGTGTGCTTGTTGGTCGTCACTTGCAGAATGACAGGGTTAGATGCAGAGTTGAGGCATGGGTTGACAAAAGTCTGGCCATGTACAACCGGCGGCATCCGACAGCAAGCATCGCCGAGCGGAGAGGTGTGTCTTGTTATGGCTCTTTCGGTCTGACCACGGCGACGACGGCTCTGATGTGGCCTTCACATTGTCCTCCTCATCAAAATTTCAAGCTCCATTGCAGGCCACAGAAGGGCCATCAAACGTTGACGACCGGAATCTCAATTCGTTCGTCTTGACAGTGAGCATAGTGACAAGCTTTTAGGCTCGCAACACAACTTGAACGCCACGGCGGACTGAAGGTCTAAAGAAACCTTGCTATCATCAACAAATCCCGCTTTGACAGCGGGTTTCCGCGGTCGTCCAAGGTCCAGAACAGGACCCTGATTCCACCCCCGGCCTGCCACCCCGGCCTATCACCCCGGCCGAAAAGCCGGGAAGAGACCCGGAAACAGGGGCTGGCTGTTCCGGCCTCCGACAACCCCTGCGCTCTGGTGCTTGAAGAACCAACTGCATACACAATTGCCAACAGAGCTGCTTTCTTGGCCTTTGGTTGGGCCGCGAGTCAACAACCCCTGACACGACATGGCAAGACGGGAATGACAACAATTGCCTTGAGACGTACTCGTGGGCTTGGAACTGCTTCGGCTGGCGAAGGGCAATCTCTTATGCGTAACCTTTAAATTCTTGGCTGCCGCTGCGCGGCACAGCAGCGGCATTCGTCCAATGCCGGAAGTGCCGTTGTGCTGATCGCATCTGGGAGACCAACGGTCACGAAAACTATACAGCCTCTGCCCTTGTTTTGGTATCAACCTGGTGGTCAACATGAGGAGGACTCTCGACATGGATTGGGACTTCGTTCCCAGGGTGCACAGCGAGAGATTCAACCAGTGTCATGGGTTGGTTCTTCAGGAGGATTTCGACCACAGCGAAGTCGTGGCGATCTGTTCCCCCAAAATTAGGTCATGGGCCACGAACCTCATAAACCCTGAAATGTCTTCATTCTGATACTATCTTGGCTCACCTATCTTCTGTAACTATCTCGTCAGCGTCTCTTTCGGCGTGCAGCAATCAGTGTCATGTCCTTTCCAGTGACCAACGGTGTCACGACTTTCATACCACCGCCGGACGGCTATGAAGTGAACTTTGACAAACCTCAGCAGCAGAACGTGGTCGACCACTATTTCATATTTGGCGTACTCGGATCTGTGGCGCTCGTTTGCTTGACGCAGAGGCTGTACACAAAGCAGGCTCTGGCGGGCGGCTTGCAAGTTGACGATGGTCAGTCTCCCTTCCTACATCAAGCGCCCTGGTTCTCGTCTGGCACTAACCAGTGGCATCTACAGTCTTGATTACGTTTGCATGGGTACGCCAAAAACATGTTGCGAGAAGATGAATGGCAGTGACTAACTTGAAGGCAGGTGGCTTCCGTGGTGATGCAGTCGGTCCAGATCTGTAAGTCACGTTTGGCTTCCCACCTAGCGCTGTCGTACGATGGCTAAACCCCCGTACCTCAGGGTCCATTTCACTCGGTGGTTTGGGACATCATGCTTGGGAAATGTCAATCGATGTATTCGAAAAACACATGCTGGTAAAGCGTCCCTCCTTTCAAAGTCTTGTTTGACTCCAAGCTAACAATGACGGCTGGCAGAGTTCTTACATTGCCGCCCCGATCTTCATCACCTGTAATGGCCTCAGCAAAACCTCACTCCTAACACTATATCTTCGAATATCCCCGCAGAGGTGGTTCAATATCATCATCTGGTCTGCCATCGCCATCGTTGCCAGTTACACCGTCACCATTGCGGGGTTACTCCTTTTCGGCTGCAAGCCGATCCGGTCTGCGTGGGACCCTTACGTTACGGGAAAATGTGTCGACTTTCCCATGGTATACATTGCTATCGCTGTAGCCAACATTGTGTCCGACGTTGTTCTTTTCGTGATACCAATCCCGACAATCATCAAATTGAAGATGCCACTGGCTCAAAAGATTGGGGCGGGCATCATGTTTGGCGTCGGTTCGGTGTAGGACTTGCCCCTCAGTGTCCCGAACTCAATTGATTCTTGTTACTGACAGAACGAAAAGAACTGTAGCAACGTCGGTCGTGCGGATGGTATATCTTCCGTCCCTCCTCGGATCCTCTGACATTCCTTGGGTTGCTGCCCCCGCCAATGTTTGGTCGTAAGTCACTGATTCTGGCCACCGGAAACGAAAGCAATGATTGAATGTACTGACATTATTCAGTTTCGTGGAGGTCAATCTCTTCATCATATGCGGTTCGATGCCTACGTTCCGGAAGTTCTTGAAACGCTTCGCCCCCAAGCTCATGGGCTCTTCGTACGGCACTTCTCGTCCCTCGCGATCGGCCAAATACGCCGACGGCTCGCAGACCAAGCCACACTGGCAGCAACGAACGGGTTATGCGCAGTTTGACTCGGTTGAGATGGGAGGCTTAAGGGCCGATAACGGGGAGCAGCAGATGGGAGCTGGCAGCACCGTGGTGTCTGTGAGGGTCGCTGCGAAGGATCTGAATGATAGGGGTGAAATGCGTGACGACAACAGCGAGGAGGAGATCCTGGATAACAAAACGATTGTCTATTCGAGGACATTCCAGGTCCAGTACGGTCGATAATAGGAAGCTATTGCGATGAGGTTGATCTTGAGGACCCCGCGACGAGTGGAGCTGAGAATGACGATCCTCGAGTCGTGTTACGATCGACAACGGCGCGGTCCGCAATCCACGAGTGGATCGAATTCCCCGCCGCGATTCATCACTTCGATCTCATCGATTGACTGGGGTGCTGCTAAGATTGACTCTTGATCTTTCGGCAGAGGAATGCGCACCCAAGATATGGTTGACATGCTGCTTCTTAGTCTGTCCCACGGCTCACAGGGCACGTCAGGACGAGTGATGCAGGTTTCGGTACCTCTTTGGGGGTCTTTTCGTTTTGGCAAGAGTTCGCGGGCTGACAGTTGATAGCCGGTAGCTGAGGCCGGTGCTCATTGAATACTATCCTTTGTGACACGAGGATCATCTGACGTACTTGCAAAAAAGGAACCAGGGCTCTTTCAAAGTCGATTTGCTGTTTGAAACGATCCTAGGTATATCCTCTCGACTCGTGCAGAACGGTCAGGGATTTCGGACAATCAATGGGGGTTCATTCATAAGACGCGATTTGTGCCCCCTTGTCGGATTTGGCACTCTTTTCCAGGCAATGGCCCCGGGGGGTCAGCTAGTCACCAGCGAGGTCTCCCAGTCCCGCCGGAGACACGTTAAAAATCCTTGATCAAGTTGGGCATGGGACCCGACTGAAGAAAGCACCGAGTACCGAGCACCGAGCAACAGACTCGACGTCAGCATGCGAGACTCCGTCACTTGACCTCGTGAAGGCAGCGACGTTGCCGCTGATGTGCATACGCCCAGGCAGCCAGCTGCTGGCCTGCGATTGGGGGCAAAATACGAAAAGAGGAATGCCGCGGCGGGAAGAGTGCCTCTTGTCGACCGTTTTCGCGAGAGCGGATGCGAGACTAAGGCACTGTCGACGCTTGTATCTCTTGTCAACTAGCCATGTACGGGAGGATGAGAAGATGGGACGAGGGGCGACGATCATGAACCGACTGGAGATGGGGATAGACAGGGCGACTACCGGACAGGGATGGACCCTGGCAAGCACAGCACAATTTGGGGGACGAGAAGGCACTTCCAGGCACCTGAGGAAGGGACCAAGGGGACCAGACACACATCTCTTTCCCCGCACGACCAGTAGCTAGCTGCATGATACCTGCCACCAGTAAAAACACGTCACTGTCTGTATCCAACCCAACCCAACGTCTGCGCGATCCTCCAGACCTTGGCCCGGATCGCGTCTTGATCCACTTCACCTAACCGCCTTCTTGTTTGACTCCGGATGCTCATACATACCTCCCCCAAAAGGGACGATTCAAGCTGAGCCCTCGCATCGTCTGATATCTGTCACTTTCCATTGCAGCTTGCATCGTTGGCTGCCGTCGCCCACTGTTTCAGCGTCTTTCTTTCCATTGTCAGCTAAGGTACCTCCCTAAGTACCTTAGCTTGCTGGCCGTCTTGCCAGTCGTACTCTCTCGCCCCTTCTTCGACAACGACTAACCTTCCCCATCCTACTAGCCCTGATCAATGACGATGAAGGCTGGGTCAGTCCCAACTTCTAATCCCACACCTCCCCAGTCTCTCCGCGACCGTCGTCGCCCTCTCTTCACTGCCCCGTCTGTCCTCCTCATCTCTCTAACCCTGATCCTGACCTTCACCCTCCTCCACCTCCACCCGGACGCATCACCGGCCTTCCTCCACATCCCCGGACGACCCCCCGCACCGGACGCTGCGGAATCAGTCATCCTGTACGCCTCGTCGTACTCTGGTACCGTCACCGCCCTCAACCTCACCCTCACTTCAGATGGCAACGCCACTCTGCGCCTTGTGTCCGAGTCGAAGGCTTGCGCGCCGAGCCCCTCGTGGCTAACGCTCGATGCCAATGACTCAGTGCTCTACTGTACCAATGAGGGTCTGATGACCGATCATGGTTCCGTATCTGCATTCAATGTTTCCAACGGCAGGCTGACCCTGTTGGGGAAAGTTGACACTGTCATCGGGCCCGTGAGTGCTGTACAGTACGGCGACGAAGGCAGAGGCCTGGCTGTTGCGCAATAGTATGCAGCCTCCCTCCCAAAGTCTCTCTCAAGAGTCTGTGATGGCCTCAAACACTTACTGACCTTGCCAAACCTGCCAGCATTGGCTCC